CTCTATCTGTAACAGAGCAAAACTGTCCTCACATCCTGTGCCTTACTCAACTTCACTGCTGTGCTTAGTACATACATCACAAATTGACTGGCAATTGGGATGACCACCTGTGTTTGTTAATTGTCTTTATCCAAAGGAGGGAGGGGGGAAAATTCTCTTCTTGTTAGCAACTTGAGATTAGTTCCTTTAAGTGCATGCAGATTTGGAAATTCCCCTTCTTTATTTGACTTTTTTTTTTTAATGCGGATGACACACCCTGCTTGCTGAAACTGAGGAGGACCTGAAGCACTTGTTGCAGAAGGTCAAGGACTACAGCCTTCAATATGGATTGAGGCTCAAAATCAAGAAGACAAAGATTCTCACCACTGGGTCAATTGGCAGCATCAGGACTGATGGTGAAGAGATTGAAATTTTTCACAGCTTTAGTTTGCTTGGCTCCACAGTCAACCAGCAGCCAGGAAATCAGGAGGCAGTCGTCAGAACAGAGCAGGGCAACACTGCATCGTTCAAAATTGGGAAGGGTGTACATCAGGGATGTGTCCTGTCTCCATACCTTTTCAACCTGTATGCAGAGCAGATTATCTGAGAGGCGGGGCTCTATGAGGAGAGGCGTGGCATTAGGATTGGTGGACGATCTATCAACAATCTGCGTTATGCAGATGACACAACCTTGTTCACTGAAACTGAGGAGGACCTCATGCACTTACTGCAGAGGGTCAAGGACTGCAGCCTTCAATATGGACTGAGGCTCAATGTCAAGAAGACAAAAATTCTCACCACTGGACCAATCGGTAGCATCAGGATGGACGGCGAAGAGATTGAGATTGTTCACAGCTTCAGTTTGCTCGGTCCACGGTCAACACTCTTGGCACCAGCAGTCAGGAAATAAAAAAACGTATTGCAATGGGAAAGTCTGCGGTTAGGGACCTCTCCAAAGTACTGAAGAGCAACAATGTCTCTCTGGAGACTAAGGTCCACCTGGTACAGGCCATGGTTTTTGCAATCACTTGTTATGCATCAGAGAGTTGGACAATGACTAGGGAGGATAGAAGGAGAATTGACGCCTTTGAGCTGTGGTGCTGGAGAAGAGTATTGAATGTACCATGGACTGCCAAGAAAACAAACAGATTCATCGTAGAGAGGGTTAAACCAGGCTGCTCCTTGGAGGCAAGGATTCTGGGGCTTCGTCTGACATACTTTGGACATGTTGTAAGGAGAGACAGGTCTTTAGAGAGGGACATGATGCTGGGGAGAGTGGAGGGACAGCGCAGGAGGGGAAGACCCTCTATGAGGTGGATTGATTCAGTGACTGGGGTACTCGGGATGGGTTTGTCAGAGGCAATGAGATTGGCACAGGATAGAGCACGGTTTAGGGCTGTTGTACATAGGGTCGCTATGAGTCGCAAACGACTTGACAGCACATAACAACAACAACACTGTGATGGGAAAATCTGCTGTTAGGGACCTCTCCAAAGTACTGAAGAGCAATGGTGTCACTCTGGAGACTCTTGATACAGGCCATAGTCTTTGAAATCACTTGCTATGCATCAGAGAGCTGGACAATGACTAGGGAGGATAGGAGAATTGATGCCTTTGACCTATGGTGCTGGAGAAGAATATTGAATATACCATGGACTGTTAAGAAAACAAATAGGTTCATCCTGGAGAGGGTTACACTGGGCTGTTCCTTGGAGGCAAGGACTCTGAAGCTTCGTCTGGCATACTTTGGACATGTTGCAAGGAGGGACCAGTTCTTGGAGTGGGACGTCAAGCTTGGGAGAGTGGAGGGACAGCGCAGGATAGGAAGACCCTCGATGAAGTGGATTGATTCAGGGACTGGAATAATGGGGGGTGGGTGTGTTGGAGACAGTGAGACTGGCACAGGATTGAGTAGAGTTCAGGGCTGTTGTACATAGGGTCACTATGAGTTGCAGGTGACTCGATGGCACATAACAAGAACAACAACAATTAGAATGAGAGCCTGGGGAAAACAAACAAATAAACACACCGCCAAAACCAACAAACCACCTCTAGGAAAGATCCTGCTAAAGGGAACACTTTTTCTTCTTTTTAACAAATTATTAAGTTGGCTCTGACTCATTCACTCACATCGACTCCATGTGTGCTAAATATGAACTTTTCAGGTCTTTAATCGTGCATTTTATTGCTCACCACTCTCAGCTGTCCAATGTGAAATAGAAAAGGCTCTATAGAGAAAAGACCCTCTCAGACACTTGAAGGAGACCTATCCTTGAGAAGGGGTGGGGGGAGAAACTATCACAGTCACAGGCACCAGGCAGAGATGCACGGAGACTTCCTCTCGAATTACTGAAACACCTAAATACTCTACACTTGAAGTACAGAACAGGAAGCTCTGAATTTCAGAATAGTAAACTCTGTATGAGCCATCACCCAACCAATGTCTTCCAAAACTTTGCCTCCATTGATTTTTTCAAACTCTTCTGTCTTTTGCTTGCTCCTAATTAGAGCCTCTACTCTTTTTTTACTCTAAACACAGTTTACTCATTTCAGATTCAGCATCTTTCTAATGTAGTACATTCTGCTACCTTCTGCCCTTCTCCGTCCCTCTTCTCAGTCAAGCCAGATGGTTCTCATCCATCAAACCTCAAATCCAAACCCACGTCTGGATGCAGATGACTCTGGCCCACTCCTGTACTTTGGACTCCTGGGCTCCTTATTTTTAAAGCTCCCCTTATGCTTTCTCTCTGAAGCTGAGATATTGCCAGGAATTTTTCCTTGAAGATTCAGCATCAGAGTGAGATTCCAAAACCAATCTCTCCCTCATTCCTGATACCTCCTCTGGGTTTCTCCTACGGCCAGAAGAGAATAGAGACTCATTTGCCAGATCATGAAAACAAAGGCCAATTTTCAGGAATATTGTTTTTTCCTAATCTGAAAAGATTGACTTCTTCATGTGGAAGTTTTTGAAATGACATAGCAAAAAGGCAATGTCAACTGTTACACATTGGACTAGTGGCAAGAAACTGTGCTGCAATCCCAGTTGCACACAGTTCAAATCCACCAGCTGCTCCACAAGAGAAGGATGGGCAATCTCCTCTTGCATGATTAACTGCCTCTGAAAACCTGCAAGAGGGTCACTTATGGGTCGGTTTCCAACTCGATGGCACACAACAAAAACAACAACAAGAAGTAAAAAAAAAATGGTTGCTGAATAGCAGCTTTTAAAAAAGTGAGTCATTAAAAAAAATAAAATTAAAAAAAGTGAGTCATTCCTTGCTGTGAAGCAAAATTATAAATTATGAATAGAACAGCTCCTTAATTCCATGGATTTATTTGGAAAATAGAGGTACTATTGATCAAGGATGTGCCAATGTTTTGTATAAGGCATAAAGGTACAATGATAGAGCTAATGTTGCTATGAGGTACTAAAATTCTTTTTCCCCCCTGAAACATAAGACTGTTAGAATCCCGTCTCAGTCAGAATATCTGAGCTGTCGCCAACAATGACTCCAGCAGTAGTATTCAAGGAAGATGCATTTAGCCTGAGAGAATTCGCTTAAGTCAGAGGCGCTCATCTCGAATTGCACAGCTTCCCTTCATAGCCATTGCATATGTCACCCATTAGTTCATCTCACCTATTTATACTTACACAATGAAGAGCAGAATTCTTTCTCCAAATCTGCAACTCAATTTAAATAAGGCAATCAGAGCTCTCGGGGCCTAGTGAGTAAGGAGATGTGCTGTCAACCCAGACAGATAATAGTTCAAATCCACCATGTGCTCCTTGAGGAAAAAATAGGCAAACTCTTCCCTTGCTATTTATGGTTTCTGTAAATTACTGGAGAGTCAGTTCCAACCTAACAGCAATGAGTTGTTGAGTTGAATCGGAACTCGGTGGATACAGGAAGGCAAGGCTGGAGGAAAGGTTCTATTCAAACTTCACATGTAAAATAGTTTTTAAATGGGTTTTAAACAAAACCTTAAACATTTATTCCAGTTTATACAGTTCTGCTTATCTGCAGATAGCATGCTATTAAGGAGACTTGTATGATATGGTAATAAAATGGAACGTTAAAAAAAAAGCAGCTAGTACCAAATAAGTGGTGAGCCCTAGTGGCCTAGTGGTAAGGAGCTGTGCTGCCATACCAAAGGAGCTCATGGTTCAAATCCACTAGCTGCTCAGTGGGAGAGGGATGGGTGATTTACTGCAAACCTGCTGGAGGGTCAGCTATGAGTCAGTTTTGATTTGACCATACACAACAACAATAACCCAATAGCAAGTCACTGAACATCTAACATAACCTCCAGTCCCAGGAACAGATTAAGAACAACAAGACACTTAATTTGACTAAGACAGATACATCCTGAAATAAGGTTTGGTTCAACTGCACACAACAACCTAGGTTACAGAGAATATATAAGAAAGGTGAGTCAATATACTTTTACAGCAAGGAGAGATGAGGCTTGATTAAATGGGTTTCAACTTAGTTTTCCATAAAGAGCTGTTCCCAGAACAGGATGTATCCTGATTGCAGTATTATTGCAAATAACAACAACTTGTTATTTTTATGGGGGAAGAAAACGGGAATCAATGAACAATAGGATTGGAAGGAGTCTTTATAGCAGACTCATTAAAATGTCAACTTAAAATATCTTTGCTTATCTAGTATTATTTCAAGACTGTTGAAAAGAAAAATCTTCACTGTTTTCTGGTTCTCCAGGAGTTGCTTTACCTCTTATTTGCTTTCGAAAGGACTATTAGTGGTGTTCTTTACATAGTCTCATGACAAGGAAAGCTATTAAAAGGAAAGCACCAAGTGAATTATTTGAAAAGGGCTACAACTGGGGCTTTGTTCTTTCTAGGCAGGTACAGATTACAGATACCAATACATCTCTGACAATACTTTTATCAAATGAGAAGGACCACAAGTTCTTGTCAGTTCTAATGAAGACAAGAGGTGTTGGAGCAAAGGAACAGAGCTTTCATGTAGCTGCTCCACACTAAGCAGGGTACTTACAAAGCAGTGAGATAACCCTCCAAGTAGCCGGCTGCAAACATGATGATCTCATTGCTCAGGGCCTGAGACCCATACCCTGCTCTGATCTCCAAGACGCCCCAGCCTGTAGTTTGTATGGAGTCGTTGTAAAAGCCGTAAGCATCACCATTCTTGTCCAGTACATTCTTGATTTGTATTGTCTTTTCAGAACTCATCCAGTACGCCGTTGCATAGTGGACATCTGGAAGGAAAGAAAAGGGAGTAATGACAGATCACTATTTAACTGTGTTGCTGACACAATTTTCCCATCTATCCAACAATTCCTACATGTTTTCTTTATAAAACTTCAATTCTACTTAAATTGAGAAAGCTGGTTGTATAGCTTGTGTTACAAGTAGAGAAGAAAAGAACTCCACCCAGATCTTGAGAGATGTGGCTAAAGCTCACAGAGCTGCTGAAGGAAGGAGCCCAGAAAAGCGCCGTAGAGGTAGCTGCATTAGAGGCTGTGGTCCCAGGCAGGATCAGAGCTGAAGCACCCCTTGACTGGTCAGCAACTTTTCCATTCTCCTCAGTAGTCGAGGCAAAACACTACTGTTCTCACAGGTGCCTTATCCTGTCTCTTCTGCTTAATTCTCTACATTGAAACTAATGTCTATGAATCCCTCAACTTCAAGACCATTCAGGAATTCATCCATACTGAGTCTCATTTCTTCTCTCTTGTCTATCTTAAGCCCTCTACACACATTCTTGCTTGCAGTGCCCTTGGAACTTTCTTCCATCTAGAAGTTCTTTGGAAGAAAAGCTTGGCAATTTACTTCTGAAAAATCAGCCATGGAAAATCCTGTGGAGCACAGTTCTATTCTGACACACATGGGTCAAGATGACTTGGGACAAATTCCACAGCACCTGCCATGCTGTACCAGGGGCTACGCTGGACGCTGGTGACAGAGCACTGAGCACAGCTGGCACGTTTGCAGCTCTCCCCTCTGGAGAGGGCAGTGTGCCCCACAGTTCACTTCCTCAGCTTCCTCACTCACCTTATTTCAGCCTAGTGTTCATCACCACTGTGCCACCATGTCACCAATGCAATCCTTGCACCTAAGGTCACATGGTCTTCCAGAAGTGTGTGCCACTGACACACACTCTCATTCTTTTGTTGTTGTTGTTAATTTGTTTTGTATTTTAATGCTCCTTTTTTAAAACCAATTTTAATGAAAGTTTAGAGACTTTGGATTTCCATTCACTCACTGTTGCACTTTTCTCCCTGCCCAACCTCCCCCCAGTTCACTCTTCTCTTTGAAAAGTAAAGGAAAAATTCTTTCATTGTTAGACAATCCCTCCCCCAAGTCTACTCCACTATGCAGCCTTCATTCTGGATTCCTGTCATGACAATAATACCTAATCGTATATCCCTTTTAAACAGTTCTCTCCCTCATCTGTTTCAATGCAGTATACATAATTTATCCCATTTTCTCAGTCTCCCTACAACCTCAGTGTCAGTCCTGTTTTACAAGGACACCCACTCTCATTCTTAAAGTTCTTTGCTTTATGGTATCTACGACATCTCTCTCCTCAATCTCCTCTTTTCTCTTTCTCCTTCATGGTTCCTTCTTTATCTTGTATACCCAAATGCACACTGGATAACACTATCTGGATGATTCTATAAGCACTGAAATTTAGAAATAATCCCAGAGAAACTTCATATTCTCTACTTGCTCATCTTCCATCTTCTGCTTTCTCCCTCCATTATCTCTCAGTCAGAAACCTGAGTGAACTTCCTGATTCCCTCTATCTTCCCTACAAAGTATATTTAATCAACCAAGATCACCTAAATATCCCACCAGTCTCTACCTCATCATCTCCACATTCCTATGCTAGCTTAAGTATCAAAGCTTGTCTAAACTATAGAACAGATTTTTTAAAAGCATCCCTGACCTCTAATCCATTCCTTGTCACAGTAATTCTTGAAAAGGAAATCCTGATTTGCTAACTGGTCTCCTAAAGGTCAATGGCTTTCATTTCTTCTAAGTAAATACAGTACCTGAGCTTACATTCTTGGCTCTCATATCTGGTTTCTACCTGATTGTCCAGCTTCCTCAACACCAGTCCATCTACTTTATGACCCAGAAACCATTATACATTATCAACTCTCCGATTCTACACTGTCAATACTTCTGATTGAGCATGTGCAGTTTCCTTTGCCTATGATTTTCTTGCTTGTTAACTGTCTAGGAAGCTCAAAATTGCTATTAAGATGAAGTAGAACCCTTTGATTTTCTCTAAAAGCTCAACATCCCTCATGTATGTCTTCATTTTAGGCTTCATCACATAGCTTATAGTCAGCCACAGCCAAAGATTTTCACCACTGGACCAATTGGCAGCATCAGGATGGAAGGTGAAGAGATTGAGATTGTTCACAGCTTTAGTCCGCTTAGCTCCACAATCAACACTCTTGGCACCAGCAGCCAGGAAATTAAAAGACGTATTGCGATGGGAAAGTCTGCTGTTAGGGACCTCTCTAAAGTACTGAAGAGCAATGGCATCTCTCTGGAGACTAAGGTGTGTCTTTGCTATCACTTGTTATGCATCAGAGAGTTGTACAATGATGAGGGAGGATAGAAGGTGAATTGATGCCTTTGAGCTTTGGTGTTGGAGAAGAGTATTGAGGATACCATGAACGGCTAGGAAAACAAACAGATTCATCCTGGAGAGGGTTAAACCAGGCTGCTCCTTGGAGGCAAAGATTCTGAGGCATTGTCTGTTGTACTTTGGGTCATGTTGTAAGGAGAGATCGGTCCTTGAAGAAGGACATCATGCTTAGGAGGGTGGAAGGCAGGTGCAGGAGGGGAAGGCCCTCTAGGGGTTGAATTGATTCAGTGACTGCGGTAATCAGGACGGTTGTGTTGGAGACAGTGAGACTGGCACAGGACAGAGCAGAGTTTAGGGCTGTTGAACAAAGGGTCGCTGTGAGTCGCAAGCGACTCAACAGCACATAACAACAACAACATTAAAACAACTTCCAGCCAAAAAAAAGCCCTCGACCAGATGGTTTTACAAGTGAATTTTATCAAACATTCAAAGAAGAATTGTCATCAATTCTACATAAACTATTTCAGAAAATAGAAAAAGATGGAATTCTCCCAGAAGCTTTCTATGAAACAAACATAGTCTTGATACCAAAGCCAGGGAAGGACACCAACAAAAAAGAAAACTATAGGCCAATATCTCTTATGAACATAGATGCAAAAATCCTGAACAAAATATTGGCCAATAGAATCCAACGATACCTCAAAGAAATAATTCACCATGACCAAGTGGGATTCATAATAGGTATGCAAGGATGGTTCAACATAAGGAAACCAATCAACGTAATTTATCACATTAACAAAGCAGAGAACAAGAACCACATGAACCTATCAATTGATGCAGAAAAGGTCTTTGACAAAATCCAACATCCTTTCCTGATTAAAACACTCAACAAAATAGTATTTCAGAGGAATTTCTTCAACATAGTAAAAAAGTATATATGCAAACCCGAGAGCCAACATTGTTCTCAATGGAGAGAGAGTAAAGGTTTTCCATTTAAGAATAGGAACTAGGCAAGGATGCCTCTATACCAATATTATATTGGAAGATTTAGCAATAGCAATAAGTAAAAAAAAGAAAATAAGAGGTATCCAAATTGGCAAAGAGGAGGCAAAATTATCTCTCTATGCAATGCTATGATAATATACTTAGAAAACCCTAAAGAATCAGCAAGAAAACTACTGGACACAGTTGACCAACTGAGCAGAGTGGCAGTATACAAGATCAACATACAACATTCAACTGGATTTCTCTACAGTGACAAAGAGAATACAGAACTAGAGCTAAGAAAAACAATACCCTTCACAATAGCTAACAAGATTAAATACTTGGGAGTAAATCTAACCAGAAACACAAAGGATCTATTAAAAGAAAATGACAAAACATTACTACAAGAAACAAAAAGAGACCTGGACTGTCAACCAAGAATACTGTACCCAGCAAAATTATCCATCAAATATGAAGGACAGATCAAGATATTCCCAGAAAAGCAAAACCTAAGA